CCCATGGAAAAAAAAAAAACTCTCCAGTCGGGCGAGTTTACTTTTTTTTTTTTAATGGGCGTCCGGAAGGGAAATAATCAATGCTAAATTTTGGTTTACAAGTTTAACTATTCTCCCGTTATTGCAACGGTTAAATTAAAAAGCAAAATGTTTGTTTTTCTTTAAAAAGACGACCTTAGCCGCACTAAAAAGTTTGTTTTTTTTCATTTAATTTCTTAAAATTCATTACACAAAGAAAGTATGGGCAGAAGAGTAGACACTCTATGAAGTCAAAGAATGTATGGGCAGAAGAGTAGTTAAAACTGTATGAAGTCAAAGAAAGTATGGGCAGAAGAGTAGTTAGACACTCTATGAAGTCAAAGAAAGTATGGGCAGAAGAGTAGTTAGACACTCTATGAAGTCAAAGAAAGTATGGGCAGAAGAGTAGTTAGAAACTCTATGAAGTCAAAGGATTCCAATTACATGAAAAAAAACTTTTAAATTTATCACACACAAAATTGAACTTATTTTCTGCTCATACTTTCTTTTTTGTAATTAATTTTAAGAAATTTTAAAGCTGCCCTTTTTTGTAATAAAATGTTATTCTGTAAATTATCCACAAAATAAGAATTTTGTTTAACAATGCTTATGAAAGCTCCTGGCTATAGTGACTTAGCTTTTTACCCAGGCATAAAGCTAAAATTTTCTTATTTCTCCATCATTCACCAACTGGACCCAGTATACTGCTGGAGCTGCAACTCGGAAGACCTTTCAGTTCAGCACAAGGAAGACTCAATCGACTGAACTAAAGTGTCACGTCGGTCAACAAAAATTTACTCTCCACAAGAGAAAGTCTCTAAAAAAGAAAAGTTTTTTTGTTTTTTTTTAAATTTACCCATACCTAAGAAATCAAAATGAAAATAAAAAATACAAACTTTCTTTCCAACATGTGCACTGGTAATAAAGGCACTGTGATCTAGACATTAAAGTTAAAGAGATCCTTCAATATTTCAATAAGCAAAATTTAAAGGAAACGAAATAATCCTACAACAGGCGTGCACAGGAAAATCACTGCTTTTTAGCATTGAAAAAGAAGGGGAACAAAACTTTTTGACCTGTTCTCATTTCTTTTTGTCATCTGCAACTGATGTGCCAGACGTCTCTCTTGGAATTATGACCTTTTAATACCCTATCAATGAATGGATGCTAACCAACCCTAACCACTAGCTCCGTAATGCTAGACGACAAAGATATAGCAGTGAGAAATAACTTTCAAAACATTTTAATTATTGTAATAAGAAACAAAGCTAATGTACTTCCCATATCATTCTACAGTCAACCCCACCTGGCCACTTTTTTAGATATTCCTCAAAAGCAAACATATTAATGATTTTTCACAACACAACCATATCTTTCAGGGCATACAACAGAAAGAATGGCTCCAACACCGGTGCTATCTCATAAATGATTATAAGCACTTTAATTTCAGTAACTCATGGTAAGTTTTTAGTAATGTCATGCATATGGTCAGTTAAAAGATCATCGTAAAAACACATATGTACAATATTTACAGCCACGATGAGGACGACCCATACCAACATCGGGTCACAGCTCAGGTAGTATTTATTACCCGCGCTATAGAACATTCTATAAATTCTGTACCTAAAAATTTCTCAGGTGCAAAAGTTATATATAAAACAATACACACAAACAAATTGCCAATATCATCAGCAGCAGCAGTGTGGTCCACCTTAATCAAACAACTGCCAAGCCCTCTCCTCCCCCCCCCCACCCCCACATTCCATTAAAAAAATAATCAGTATGATATAGGTATGATAAACATTTATGGAAAAACATTGTTCCACCTCTGAACTTAACACTAGATTATTCTGAAAATGTAGTCAGTAAAACTAAATTACTAAATTATTCTGATACTGTAGTCAATAAAACTTAAAACACTAACTTATTCTGATACTGTAGTCAGTAAAACTAAAACACTAAATTATTCTGACAATGTAAAGTAAAAATAAAACACTAAATTATTCTAACACTGTAGTTAGTAAAACTAAAACAACAAATTATTCTGACAATGTAAAGTAAAACTAAAAATCTAAATTAGTAGTGGTTAGAGACCACATAACAGTGGTACTCATTACAGGCCACAATCAGCATGTTGATGGACCACCCTGAGCTACAGCATTAAAACATGAAACATGGATTTGCATCTGAAATGCTGATTTTTTTTCAGCCAGTTTACATGTAAATGACATGTGATCAGTTACCCATGACTCAAGGCTGCACAGAGAACACATTTTTACACATTCAACTACAACCTCCCCTTGCTTGTTAATTTAACTCTATTGGTTAACAACATATGTATGAAAATATGTTCATGCCTTACTCAGGGGCAAAGAGATTTTCAGACCCTTCACATCTGCATTAACTACCAAAAACATGTAGAGGTATACAGGCTTCTGAAGACCACCTATCTTATCTGGTATACTAGAACAATGTGGAGGTCCATTCACTGGATGTTGTGCGGCCATTCTGTGGGTTTAAATTGTCTGCTCGAATTGTACAATGAGAGATTATGAAAATTCATTGCACTGCGGTGAACATTTATAATGGTTCTGAAAAAATACAGAAAACAAAATGCTCACAGGCATTACCTGCTCTATTGCTGGGGGAAATTTTTATAACTGAGAAAATGTTTGTGATCAACAAATATAATCTCCCTGGCCCTGATTTTTAAATTTTCTTTTTTATTTCTTGTACCATAAATATTCTTGAAATCACTCTCAACATTAATCAGAATAATCTTCAGAGATAAGATATGTCCCAATATGTCATGTCAATTTAAAAACAAAATGATTTTGGAACCAAGCCAATAAATATATAGGTGTTGTCCACGGGGAGGCTACTCAGTTTTACAAAAAAATTGTATGTACCCCATAATGAAATTCCAATAAAGTACAGACACAGGGGTTGCACACCATTGATCCATGCACCTTGTTTTTTTTTTTTTGTTTTTTTTACAAAATAGCCATCACTCATGAGTTGCTGAAATGATTGTAAACTTACATCGAGAAAAGAGGTAGAGTGTGGTAATAGCTCAAGGAGGGTAACCGGATATTTTATTTTTAACAAATGATAAATGTAGGCTGTGGCCCACAACAGCACAGTTCCTTTTAATTTTTAATGAACTTATGCTCGAGACTGAAACAGAAGAGGCATCTTTACAACAGAGTTCAGAGTTTGAAACACGTTTGTACACAAATTACCGGTGCTCAATGTTAGTATTGTTAGGCTCACTTAAGTTTCTCCAAGCATTTACCATGAAGTGGGTTTCAATTTTTGTTCCTCACTGTCGACAACAAAAAGATATCTATTAATTTATGAATATGGAGTATCAATTGAAAGAAGTCATAGAAAAAAATGGAATTTGTGACATCACTGATAAATTCTAGTTTGTGTTCAATTAAAAAACATATTTTCTTTATAACCAGATCTTACAGATAGAAAATATGATCTACATCTTTCTGCCAAGTTGCATTCATTCTTAACAACGCTTGTTTTAAAGTTAAACTCAGCCAAGTCAATCAAACTGATGACGCAGATCATTCTTAACAAAAAGTGAAATAAAACAAAAATACTACAGCATCCATTTCCTTCTTGATAGGCAACGATTCATCTCTACTACTTAACAACAAAACTGAATGTTAACTGAGAAAATATATGTTGGGAAATCAATAAAAAATGTATAATTTTTTAGCTCAACAAGAGAACAGCACCAAAAATATCCCAATGGAGACTTTTTTTAAAAAAATGCAAAACTTTCTTTAACCCTCGAACTGTGGCATGCATCATTATGTAGTGTGGGAGCTTTTCAGAGCTTTTTGAGTCCCTTTTGAGATTGCATTAAATGACATAGAAATATTGATACAAGACCCCAATAAGTGTATATTTTTAGAAAGGTAAATGGATGGGGATAAAGTTGGCTATATTGCCCACCCCGTAAAGAAATTTTGCTCAGTGTCTTTGACCTTTGAGTGCTCATGAACAAAAAAAATAAAAAAATGTATTGCTTCCAAGTGCTCATAACATCATTAATTTTTATAAATACACTTAAAACACTCATCTAAATGTTTTAGCCAATTCATTTATCTTTCAGAAAATGAATAGTTTGCTAAGGTTTTTATTACAATTAAACCTCTGAAAGCAATTTTAGGTCATTTATATAAGAAACTGGGACCACAGCTAAAACCAAGTACAAATTACAAAATCTCAGGCAAAATAGTTATTATTGACTAGTAAACATTTAAAAAGGAACTGTGGAACTGATTTGGGTTGTTAACTATAAAATTTATTAGTTCTGATCTATAATCTGTAGCTTCTGTGACCAAAAAAAAATTCAGTTAGCCCCTTGCTCAACCTCCGGGCCTGGCTCGAAGTCTAACAGTAGGTATAAGATTCACGAGAATAATAATCTCAACTGAGTTTGTCATGGGGAATGTTAAAATCATCATCATTATCCCTTAAATCTTCTCCTAAAACACTTTAAAAAATATTTATATCAGTTCTTGCACAGAAGGCCCAGCCATAGCTTCAAACCACGTTAGCTTTAAAAAAAACAGCAATATAAAACTCCAAATAAAAAGTACTTATTTTAAGTTATCAAGCAACAGCTTGACCTGGATGATGATTTAATTATTAATAAAAGGAAGTGAACATAATTACGGTTAAATATTGGATTGGAAGTTGCTATCGGATCCTGTTTTTAATCGGCCGACCGCCACAGCACAGAACAAGAATATCTGCCAACCACAGTTCAAGGGTTAAGTATCCAGACATAATGAATTGAATAAATGAGGTTTTTCCCAGAAAGTACATATATAATGTATATTTTTACCACAATACAAACTTGACAGCATGTAAGTGCCACATAGAGGTTCCATATTTGGGCCATAAACATGTGACCACAACATTTTTTTTTTTTAATTCCCAACATTATAATATGTGAATAGTATAAAAGTTTGCTGCATATCAACATGGCTCTTGCTATGGCTTGAAGAAGTGTATCAAGCTAGGATTTAAGGGGGTGGGGGAATGCATTATAAAAATAGGATTTAAAAATGATAATTAAAAACATGAAATAAAAGTAAAACAAAGTTTTGTGAAACAAAAGTAATCACAACATGCATAGGCAACAGTTCAGAGTGTGAACAAGTGACAAAGCTATTGGCTTGCAAATGGTCTTGTAAGAAATAAGTATGTACAATTATTGATTCGTACCACCGCTGCATTAAAAATGTTTCGAATGCACAGCATGAAAGCAGCCATCAATGTACATGTTTTTATAGGCTAAATAAAAAAAATGTTCTACTAACGGAAGTGTCCACATTCTGACACCATTTTACTTTGATAAAATAAATGGAATAATAACACTTGTTACTAATACATATTATATAAATTTATTTAGCAGACTACATTAGAGGTTTCCATCCTTATGTAAAGGCTGACCCAACCACACTACAAGGGATGAAGATGTAAGTACCATTATCCTCTAATTTAAATAGAAATTTAAATAGTGTCTTCATACAAAAAATTTTGTTTAAACTACGACCAGTTTAAGTTTATTGGTGTGATCTTTTGTTTCAATATTGGCACACACAGCTGATGAAAAAATCACAATGCCATCAACATCCCTTCAACTATTTACATAAATACATTCCTACAACAACAAAAAACAAAAAAACAAAACAAAACAAAAAAATCACAAAGAGTTTTGTCAACACTTAACACAAACATTAAATTGAGGTGAGCAGTGAGATATTGTGACATACTTAAACAATAGACTTGTTGATGCATCCAAATTAAAACACACCAAAAAAAAATAATTCCAAAATAAATATCTTCAGATCCAGATCATTTAGTTTAAAATATCCCAGCTTGCAATCCAGTAAACTGATGCTGGTGGTCAAGACTAAATCAACAGCGGAAAAACAAAAAGAAAGAGGTTTAAATTTTCAAGGGCTAACATTTCAATATTGGTGCAATAGATATTCATCAATAGGAAGGGTATGAAATTAAGTATGTTATCCATCCTTTTATCATTAAGGTCAAAAACATCACATAAAATTTTGAAGGGTGATTGTTTACATTTTTTATACAGCACATATCCATTTGAAGTAGTGAAAATGCAAATTTACAATTGTTGACAAATATTATGCCAATGGTAGTTTAAAAATAATTTTTTTTTTTTTTTTAAATCATACACATGCTGTGCCACATCCACTTTTTTTTCTCTCCATCATCTCACTGCACTCATCTTGATATTTGTTGTAGGAGGTTAAAACTAATTTTTTTAAAATCAATCATCAACATTCATTTGCCATCGGGTTAAATTTCAATAAATGCTATATAATTTTTTTGAAATTTCAATAAATCTGTTGGTATTTATAGATGGTTATTTCAAATAAAATTTCTTTAAAAAAATTTAGCATGTTAATTAATAACAGTATAATTCACATTTTTTTTAGGATTTTGTTAATCAAAGCACAACTCCTGAACACCATTGTGAAAACAAAACATTCTGACATTTTCAATGAATATTTTTTGTTTAAAATATCAAGACGTGGTTCTTTACGTAGTTTAAAGTTTGCGGCTATGGTAGGTTAAAAAGCAAAACAAAATTATATTAAGACATAGGTGTAAAATCACATGCTGTGCTGTGTAAACAACAAAATGTTAGAACTAAAGTTAATGGCATTATTTAAGTTTAAAAAAAAAACATAAAGAAGTTTGTTAAGTGTTCTGAAGCCATGATATGCAGATTCCTGAAAGTGGGTGTGTAACTATGTATCATCGGTCTACAGAAACTATTTATTATCACTCTGCAGAGATAGCTCAAAATCATTCAATGCATAAGGTTAAACAAGCAAGCACACATGGAATAATACCAGTTTCTTCTGTACAATGCTTTGATTATTCCGTTTTCTGCTCGCACAAGAGATTGGTATTGCTGGATTTCAACATGATAATTAAAAACTACGGAATACTATCCACTCAGTTTAAATTATTAAACCCTTCTGTTGCATGTATTTCTATTTTAAAAGCTTGATTCTTTACAACAAATAACATTTAACAAGAACAAATCAATTGTAAAAACGAGGAGATATTGAACATGGTGGTACATTTTGATGAACTCTTTTGTGTTAATGTCTCCATTAGTTCTTATGAAAATATCCAAAATACAAATATACAAAAAGATTGCCATATTCTGCTCCATTTAGAGCAAGACTTTTCTAAGCTGCGGTTTTCTTACTTAGCCTAAAACAAACCTATACAAAAAAGATATTTCCTTCGAGAAATAAAATACATTACCCCCAATTCTCTGCCATGCAGACTAAAGTTTATCTTGAGAAACCTGGTTTAAAAATCATTTTCATATAATGGTCCTCTCCTATTATAAAGAGAATCAAGGCTTTTCTTTGTCTCATGTGTTGTTATCGTGTATTCTGGTGTGTTCTACAAGCTGCCGATGGTCCTCAAAACTTTCTCCACAAAAGCAGGACCACTTCATGCCTGATCCAGTCTTCATGCCATCCTCCACTTGCTGAACATTCTGCTCTTGCTGCTGCTGCTGTTCGTGCGACTCTGGATGTGGCTGCGTTGAGTTCACAGCTTCTTGGCTCGATGATGGAAACACAGAGGGTGTGAATTCTGGCATAGGAGCACCGGTGACATCAATCTCAAAATCTAAAGGGGCACCGCTGAGCTTTTCAAGCTTTTCTTCATGACACTTGCGTATGTGTCGCTTGAGATTATCGGCTCTTGTGAAAAGGCCCCCGCAAAAGCATTGATGTGTCCTCTTTTTCCTACCTGTGCGCTCACCCGATGAATCACGTGGAGTGGCTATAAGAAAAAAAATTATGACAAAAATAAAATTCCATGAAATATATAATAAATGAATAAATGTGAATTTCTTTAGCACCTAAATATGTCACACATGTTTATTTATAATAGGTTACGATTAATTTTCTTTTACATTAATTTCCATGAAATCGGCCATTGCTGAAATATCATTAATGTAGCTCTTTAAATAAATATGAAACAGTTTGCCTCAATCTTTGAGGGACATTGAAAATGATAAAAAATCATTTAAGAACCATCTAAAGACTCTTTTCTTTAAATAGATTTTAGGACATCAGAGCCCTGTGACTGAGCATGCTGAAATAGCATGGACACAAGCGCTATAAAAGTACTCATTCATCATCATCATATGTTGCATTTTCAAAATTTTATAGGGGACACTAAAAACCTAATTATTTATTAACACAACTTTTAAAATGAATGTTAGATCATATGAAAGAATATATACTATACAAGAATGACATTTTAAAAATATTTTTACGGGACATGGGAAAGCCCTAGAACTTAATAAACGTTGAAAAAGCAAATAAGCATTTTAGAAAGGAAAAACATCGGACCTGCACGTTAAGAGCGTTACAGTGAAACTGTGGTCTTAATAAAAATCCATTATGAATTTTTAAAGAAATAATATCAAACCTTTGGACTTTTTTCCATGTTTTGTCTGACTGTGAGTTTTAGGAGTGTGAGAAGCTTCTATAGACCTGTGTAATGCACTTTCAACATCTACTTTGATCTCCCCACTAGAATCAAGCCCAATGTTTTGACGACCATCGTCATGAGGTGGGGTTGCTAAGTTGTCTGGAAATGGAGCAGACCCAGGACTGTAGGGTCTGCTGCCTTGGCGACGGATTTGACTAAAAGGCGGAAGGGGAGATGAAGACTGAGTGTGACGTGCATCTAAATCAGGAGCCAATTCCATTTTAACCCCTGGACCTAAACTTTTATTGCTCGAACCTGGAAAAACTACACTGTCAAATGGCTTTAAGGTAACAGATTGGTTGTAATCATGATGCTGTCCAGAGTAATTTACATTTCCTTGAAAATTATGTGCATCGAGTTTGATCTTTTTCCGATGGCCATCTGGCACTCCAGCTGGTAGACATCTAGGTGATTCAGATAGCCTGGCTTGAACTGAGGGCTGTAAATGTGGTGTGTTGCTGGGGTTGCTGTGCTGGCTGAATGCATGCTGGTGCTGACCGCGACCAGATGACTTCCTGTTGTGGTTTGAATCTCTGCGCACAAAGCCCAGATTTTGGGTTGATGGAAAATTTTCTCTTTCAGCTGGGGCAGCAGTGCTGAAATGTGATATAAATTTCCTTTTTTTTTTTTCAAATAAAACAATAACTACTTACTTAAGATTATTTGTTTCTTAAGATATCTGCATATGAATATTAGCATTTAACTGATTTTATGGCTTTTAATAAAAATTAACCTTAAAAAAAGTAATACCTGTTGTAGAGAGAGAACAGATACTCAAGTAAATTATTTGCATCCAAACATGTGTCGTGCATTGTTGTTTCAAAGCGATGAAATATGTCTTTTCTAACGAGAATAGCACCAAGTAATTGTTCTGGATTTGAAGGCATGGTACTGGCCTGAAATCAAAATATACTTTTACTACATTTATGATAAATGAAATACTGATAGTTATTTAAAATATAAACAAAATGGCACATAATTATTGTTCAAATTTCTAAGGCTGTTTTAAACTGCCTTTTAACAAAACTAGTGGCATTTAATTTTTAATCGCAAAAATTTAAAGTTCATTGAAAGGATTAGCTCATGGCAATAACAATAGATGACTGAACTATAACAATGTAATAGCTTTGTAATCATTTTTATTTAGATAAATATCTGAATTACGGGAAAGAAACTGCTTACCATTTTCTGCATGCCTTGTACAGCTGTTGGTGTCCAACATAAGCCTAGCATTTTTATTAATTGTCCATACCACAACTATAATAAATGAATTATATATAATGCAAGCAGCTTTATGCAAACGTTAAGTGTGCATCAAAGGTAGTAACTGAAGCTACAGAGCACTCAAGATCAATGAAGATTGAGACAATCTTAATGTTTGACTAATAACAAACTCTGTAAACTGATGACTGGCAGAAATGTTGCTGGAGTGTTCATCAGAAAATGTTCTTATAGTATCTGAAGTGATTAGTAGTACTGAATATTCAATTTCTCTACGCTTGTGTCTTTCAACCTGATTTCAACATGATACTTGCACTGCAAAATAAATGAGAATGCTTTTTTTTAAAACAAGTTAATATATTTTTTAGCACTCTTTAAATTAACTCAGATTGATTAATATTAAAATTATATAGATGGGCCAATAAGTAGGCAAAGGCCTGCAATATTTATTTTTACATAAAATAAACTTATAATACAACATATATTTACAAATTAAATAGCTCCAATTGTCAGTGTGTATTGAGAGTTTATATAATATTATTATGAGGCAATAGCCTAGACTTAGACATGTTGATATAACATAGCCCAATTTACTTCATGCAAAATTTGTTTGTATATTTTTTTTTCAAATTCTATCAATAGTTTCAAGAGATGGTTATCCTAGCCCAAACATAATACTTGCACATTTCAATGCTCATATTGAATATAATGCATACAATGTACAAAATGTTGTCTTTTCTAATCATAATTCTAATTGGGTGATCTTTAAAAATTTCCTTACTAGAATGCCCATTTCCCCGGTTTTCACAACCTGGAAAATTATTCAATAAATTCTCAACTATTTACTGTTTTCCCGACTGATAGCTTACTCCTTAAGATTGATTTGATTGGCTTAAACAAATATACCAACCACTTATCTACTTTATTTCTTGCAGGGTTACGGATCATTAAGAAATGCGCACTTTTAGAATCATGTTTTTTCGTTCGATTTTTTTTTCGCCAGTTTTTTCCTTTCCAATTTTTTTAAATCATTTTTCCCAAACTTTCTACGACCGTGACGTTTTTTTCAATTTTCCCAAACTTTCCGGGCCCTGGAAATTTTATTTCATTTTTCCCACACCTTCAAACACCATGCGAACCCTGTGATTAACTACCAGATTGAAAAAACCAGCTGTGGCCGAATTAAATCTAGGTCACATTCAATACGATACAAACATTAGCGCTACCAGCGGCTCGTGGCCATAACGGAAGAAATGCCAAGCATGTCCCATCGACTCATGGTAGTTAACCAGTTAAGTTATGAGACCCAAGTGATCGATATAGATGGTCAGATGATGTGTTCCTCTTTTAGAGCTTGTAATTTAATCATTAACTATTTTATGGTAGGATTTAAAAAATACATGAAGAGTATGCCTATCTCTCATATTATCTGTAGTGACTGGTAGGCCTAGACTGTAGACTTTTAATAATAAAAATTTCAGAGTTTTGGCTAGTCTTACTCTTGTTCAATTAAAAGCAAGAGAGAGCTATGGCTATGAGCCTATTAAACTAATATTTTATGCTGCTGTTCAAATTAGTCAAAAGACTTAGCGATAGTGTATGTGGTAGTTACTCACGTCTAAGTGAGGACAAGTGTTGACGTTGAGTGTTGACGGTAAAACTGAGTATTAGTATTAGTAGTAATAAGTAATGAGGTAAAAGTAGTAAATGTCTGAGTCAGTGATGTGTAGTATGGCATCAATAAGTCATCATCTAACAGAGAAAAGAAACGATGATAGTTAGATAAAGAAATTTAACAGATTATGGTGAATCTATATTTACTCTGCTTTATAATTTAATTTAGCTGTAGCGTTCCTTTTTGCGATTCAACATTTTCGTCTCTATGTAGCTATCATGATACTACTCCAATAGAACTAAAATTTGATAAAGCGGAAATCACTCTTTTCTTCATAGAAAGTCATTAATTTGAATAAATCTGATTCCGTATATATTTATTGCGCGGAAAGCAGAGATTTTTTTTTTAATCTCTATAACTTTTTAAATTACTTAACTACGATAAACACCATTAGATTTAAGTTAACAATAATATTTTTAAAAAGATTGAATGTTATATTTTATACAAATTATACCATAATATGACATAAGGGAGACGTAAGAGGGGGTATTATCCCCAAATGCCAAATGCATAGAGGGTAGATAGGCTGGTATGAAATAGTCTTCGTATTTTATAATTAGGCATAGGCTACTTAATAATTAAGTAGCCTATTCCCACATTTAAGCTTGACACCTTAAATAATAAAGGAAACTCTAAAACAGCTAAAACAATTACACCAAAACTGTTCGTCCTATATAGAAATAGTAGGTTACAAGTCTTATTATGGTGGCCTTCTACTACATTCTACAGACAGCAGTCTCAGTTACAGTTACTGTTAAGCTAGTCATTCTAGTCTTGTGCAGTAAATGGGAATCAGCTTTAAAATAACATCAAAATGTCATCCATTATTTTTTTATAGAAACATGATGTTATGTATGGCCATTTACTTAAAATTTTATTTTTTAAATTTATCTGCAAGTAAATTGCATGTAATTCTTTCTTTTTTTGTGTGTGCATGTGTGTAAAAATCGTTATTTCGGTATTCTTTTTTTTGAGCGTCTCTCGGCGAAAGGATGTACCACATCAACACGTCCATAACAATATGACTGAAATAGTGGAACAAGCTTCTGTGCCGCTATTAGCAGTGACAGCGGCTGTTGGGGCAATAGTATTACTTTTTGCTTTACTTTGCAATGTTCTACGACGAGACAAGCAGAAAGAGCAAACTATTGGTACAATTAAAGATGGTTATTAAATAGTATTATTATTATTAATTAGCCTTAACTTAACTGTTAGAGATAGTGTAAGTTACAGTATAAGTGTGTGAGTGTGATACTTCACAACAAAAAAAAAACTAGAATTAATTAATTTATTAATAAGTATAAATTCTATTTTTAAACAATTTTAAATATTAAAATATTACAGTTATATAAAACAAACTTCAAATTTAAAAAATGAAACTAGAATAAACTTTATAGCTTAGGTCTAGGCCTAGGTACTTTGATTAGAAAATTAAAACTTTTTGCAAAAATAAACCAATGGCATAGTTGAAAGAGCTAGTAATTATAACACCAAAGCATATTTTTAGCTGTTGTAGTTTTAAACTTATGATTTTTAAAGTTCGACTTAATTTGTCCATTTTTAACATGGACCCATCGGACCGCATTCGGTGACCCAATTCTGCTGTTCGCGTCACGAGCTCTTGTTTTAATAATTTTATTTTCAGAATTAATGCTGCATTTAAGTTTAAGATAATTTTAATAATGTTAACAATTATAAATAAATTGTAGCTTATCTAACTATGCACTATTTATATCAGTAAATTTAATATAATGTATTAATATATGGCTTTTCTGTTTAACTAATCTTCGACGTCCATTATACCGATATATGCTATATACTATAGTCTATATAAGGCTGCTCATGCCCTAATTACTAAAATATTGTTTGGGAACTATTGAACTTTCAACTTTGGTACCGGTACATGACTAATTAATTAAAACTTTCCCTGACCTAGTTAAATAGTTTTTGCACATGGCAAACTTTTATGAATAAAAACTCTGAGATAGTAGTAAATGATAGCCATTATGCAAGTCACCGTGAATGGCCGCCATGACATTTTGCACTCGGTAAATTATGATCATTTATAATATGGACTCTGCAGGGTTTTTTTAACCTCAAATTAAAACAGTATTCTTTCAATAACATTTAAGTTCTTTCTAAAACATAAGTTATCAAATATTTTGATGTAAATAGTGGAAACAATTGAATATTTCCTAAGTAACGGCGTCTTCCTTCAATGAAAGGGGGTGTGGCCACTTCCTTATCGAAATTGGGCTGAGCTACATTACCATATAGGGGTTTACTCAAATGAGCATAACAAGTGACCGACATGTCCTAACTAAATGAGAATTGACACAAATACACATCGATAGATAATACAGAAAAAGAATTTATTTTAAAGACATAAAAGTTAAATTCTATACGAATTTTATAGTGAAAGATGCCTTATATTTAAAGGGAAATCTCAAAATACAGGTCGATTGAAAAATTAAAACAAATCTATGTAAATGTAGGCCAAGAGGTCTACCTAATTATAAGGCCTGAAACGGAACTCAAATATATGTCGAAAGTACTCATTTATTAATAAATAGACACACACATCGGAAAATTAAAAACTCAGATTTTTCGGCGCCGATTTCTATTTCCGATACACAGAAATTAGTAGTCTCCCTTGTTTCATCGAAGTACCTACTTTACTTTAGTACTTTTTAAGCTATGAATTTTTTAAGTGCAAGTTTTTTTGGTATTTTTTTTGGTAGGCCTATTCACTATTTATTTTACTATGACTATTGACTGCACCTCCACATTTTGTGACCCTATACCGCTGATCGCGTCACACGCTATAACTATAATTATATTTTCATACAACTTTCATTTTCAGGATTAATCATTACTAGGTATTAAAATATTTCTAATTTTAAACGATTAGCATAGTCATAGTGGCATAGTACTATAGTAGTATAAGACATGTAAGGACTGTGAATGGTTGCTCATGACAATGTTTTGCATACAACAAATTATGATAGTTTATAATATGGATTCTACTGGGTTTTTAAACCCCAAATTAAAACATTCTTGTTTAAATTAATTCTAGGTTCATTCTAAAACAAAAGTTATCAAATATTTTGATGTAAATAGAGATTATAATTGAATATTATCTAAGTTCAGCATCTTCTGCCATTAAAAAGATGGGCATGGTCAAAATTAGGCTGAGCGACCTCATGATAATGCAGGTTACGAGGACAAGTGTAACGAACGTCAGACACGACCTGCATCATGAGAATTGGCACACATATACTATGATATACATCAAGATATAATGCTTTTCATTATTTAATATGAAACACCTTTATTTTGAACTTGATCAAAGGTTTTTGAGGAAAAGTTGCCTTATATATACCTATTAATTTCCATAACTAAGGTCGCTCAAAAAGGGCAAAATTCTATGTTGGAATGTAGGTCAAGATGTCCCCTATCGTGAACAGGTGGAAGGATACCACAATTTTATTACAAAATAGTCCCTTTATTAATGGAAAATCACTAACGTCCAAAAATTAAAAACTTGGATTCTTCTGTGCCAACGCCCATTTCCTGTACAAATTTTGAAGTAGTCTCCCTTGCTTTACCATAGTGCCTACTGTAACACTACACAGTTCAAGAACTAGAGACGAGGGAGCAGTACTACCATTCCTCCAAGGCTTGTCGCTAGTTTCTATACCACTACACTACACTACTCCCTTATCTAGTAATTGATGAAGTGTATGAGTGTGTGGTGTAGGTGTAGAATTATTGGCAGATTAACGCCAGGCAATTGTTCAAGGATTTCCAAAAATCTCACATAAGTCACTTCCCTACATAAAAACAAAAATAAATTATAATATATTAAAATTAAATAAATGTTGCCTAATTAAAGTAAGTCAAAGACTTAAGAAACAGCTTCACCTAGGCCCATACTAAATATAGGCTGTTTGTTAAAAAATTGAAGTCTCAAACTACCCTCATCTACTTCTGGGTAAATAGAGGATTAATGTTTTAAAACTTATGGTTAGTCTTACATTACCGTTTAATGAGAAATTTTTTTGTTAACGATCCAAAATGATCACCCTCCATCTTCATATTCTTTACTTGAGTCAATCCAAAACACATGGATTTTTCATATCATTGCCCTGCCCTAAACATTTTTTATAGATGGCCGTTCTAATAAACAAACCACTACAAGTTTTCTAAATAAATCATAATTAATTGTAAAACTTCATATTATGCTCTCAAATTTGTATTATTTTTTTGTTACTTAGACTCTGACAAAACGAGAACTCAAGAAAGCCTGGGCAATGACAAATCTAGTGCTTCTAAAAAGGTGAAACCCACAGCCACAAAGGTTGTGAAAAAAGCAGCTTATGTCCCATTCTCACACCCTTGGTTATCATGCACATTGAAAGGCCACAGCAGCCGTATTGTGTCTTTAGATTTCAGCCCAAATGGGAAGTATTTGCTCACAGCATCAGAAGGTTTGTTTTGTCAAAAACTTGTATATACATTTTGTTAAGTGTGTTTTTTAGCCATTAGATCTTCATGTCCTATAAGACATTGTTTAGTGGATGTGCAGTATGTGCTTCTTCCACTCATTAATAACTGATATCATATGGGTCAAGGCATCAGGCGGCACAAATGTATTATATTTATTTTAACAGCATAAACAAAATCACACTTAACACCACCATATAACAAAGACATATGAGGTAAGAAATTAATTTCTTTTTTTTTGTGATAAATATGGCTGGGGGGAATTGTTAGACTTAACATTTTTTAGAGTTAACCACTGTCATTGTCTGTCATATATTGTAATAAAAATATTTCAAACAATGTAAGTTTATCGTACGACATAGGATCTCAAGGCCTTTTTGAAATTCATTACCCCCAAAGAAACGTGATCCTTATTTTTAAGCTCTTCTACTGGTGGGGGATTTTTTTTTTGTGTCTGGTGGTGGGGGGGGGGGGGGGGGGGTTAATAATCCTTATTAGTGTCTTAAGTGGTGCACTGAAGGTTGGAAAACACTGCCATACCCAATAATTTTTTTTAAAATATTTCTATTTATCCTGCGGTACATTGTAATGTTTCCAAATAAATAAAATTCAAAGAGAAGGCTGCCATAAGATCTGCAACTTTAGTCCTCCCACACCAAACATAAATCTACTGGCAGTCCCCTCACGCCTTTGTATATCTTTTTAAAAAGATGTGTATATCTAAAAAGCTGTTATAATCTGCGTGCTAATTTTTTTTCAAATGTTCCCTCAGATAGAGCCTTGATGTTATGGAGTGTCAAGGAATTTCAACAGAAAGACCATAAGTAAGTTTATATGGTGTTACAATATCTAGGATTTTAGATGGGTTTTTAACTACAGGCGGCATCCATTTTCTGTTTGTTTAATAATTGTTTTTTCATGTTTCTTATGTTGGATTATCAATAGGAATAACTTTAAATACTAGTACTTACAAAATTTATTTTTTTGCAACCTAATTTCAGATATTTACGAGGAAATGTTGATTTAGACTCAGCCACTCAAGTAGCCTTCAGTCCTGATTCACGGTTTGAAAAATAATTTTTGAATGATTAAAATGGGTGCTTACATCACACTACTTAATAAATTCCCAGAAGTTAGTTTTAAAACTATTTAAGTAAAAAGTCTAATATCCTGTAAAGATAAATAATACATTAGAAATCCTTTAGAACCAAGGCATGTTTTTATGTTTGCTTATATCTTTATCCTTCTTTAGTATCTGGTACCAATGTGTCATGATTATTTTTTTTTTTTCTTTTTTATGCAGTGCAATTTATAATAGTTGTATCCACTTTTGTCTTTCAGAGCATTTGTTGCTAGTCTATCTAATGAAAATGCCATTAGAATTTTCCGGTTAGTGAAAAAGGAAGATGGTAGTCATAATGTTACAATAACAGGGGCAGTTACATTCTCGAAGGTAATGAACCACTTATTTTTAGATATAATAATAGAAGAAGAAGAAGTCTTTGATATATTTTTTTTTTAAACATTTGCCTAGTTTGTGATTGGTTCTGTGTAATCTTTTGTCGAAAACATTGGTTTATATGATTGGTTTTGTTTATAATTGTGTTTTGCTTTTTCACTAAATTTTTAGAAGCATAAAACAGATATTATTGGTGTCGGAATTGCCTCCAGTGGAAGATTTATAATGTCATGTAGTGGTGATACAACCATTATTATATGGGACCTGAAGGGTAATTTTTTTTTTTAATTTAGTAATCTTAATTTTAAAATTGTTTGTCCTCTTTTTTCTTAATATGAAATTTAAACATTTTCATGATCTTGTAAGTAAAGGTTTTAATAGATTTTTCACAGGGGTTTCTCAAACTCCATTAATTATTAACATAATTAATTGTACAAACTTATTAATATATTTTCATTAACTGTATATCATTTCATTGATTTATATAAAAATCTCTTGCCATCAGGTGAAGTATTGTCAACAATAGACACAAGACAAATGTCAAATTCTTGTGGTAAAGTTTCTCCATGTGGTAGATTTGTTGCTTCATCAGGTGTGTGCCATTGTGTACTATACTGTCATCACATATACAACACTATTATTAATTACATGCCTTAAATAAGTTTTAAAAGCCCTGAATGCAGTTTCCTAAACAGTTACTTAGTACTATGTTCTTCTGGCATAAAAAAAAGGTGTTAAAAGCAAATCCAAATTTGGCAGTGCATAATATAAAGAGATCACTTATATGTTCCTTAGGTTTCACTCCTGATGTCAAAGTATGGGAAGTTGTTTTTGACAAGACGGGGGCTTTCAAAGAGGTCAAAAGAGCCTTTGAGTTGAAAGGTCATTCCGCTGCTGTTTATCACTTTTCATTTAACATGGATGCCAGGAGGCAAGTTGAATGATTCACTAGTTCTGTTTGATTCATTGTAATATACTAAAAGTCTATTGGCATTCAAGAGATGGTTATCTCGTGGTGCTTTGAATTGATCCATTTCACTTTTTTTTTTTTTTTTACAGGATGGCATCGGTTTCAAAAGATGGGACTTGGAAATTTTGGGACACCGATGGTGAGACAATTTTTTTCAATATAATATTACATAATGTTATAATATATATATATATATTTCAAGTAGGATAATAAAAAAAAACCACTACATTACTGTAAATCATAGGACATGTTATGAGGACTCATATAGGTTATACAAATATATAACTTTATCTGACAGTCCATCGAACACTATTTCTCATTGATTAAATGTTTAAGAATTAGTTTAAGGAACAAACATCAGGAACACCACTGCTGAGTAGCCCTTGCAACCAATGAAGTATCCCCTTGAAAACCATGCACAGTAATATCGCGAACCCCTCTGAAACACAGGAACCAGAATGATCAATTCATTGATCGTGGGCCCTCAAAATAAAGAAGAAGATTCATGCCAAAGAACAAGGAAATAAAGCTGAATAATTTCAGTCATATTAATTATTCATATCCATAAAAACATTTGGTACTGTGAATTAGAGTGAAATATCTTGGAAACAGTTAGACCTCGGGTGATAGGTCCTCTTAGGATAGGACGCAGAAGATGCTTCAACTTCAATGCCAAATTTTGCAAGAGATTTAAGGCAATTTTCTCATTTGTTAAAAATATGCAATTTGTTGAAATGGTTGGGGGAGTCAAAGCATCATGTGACTAGAAACATCTTTAACCCACAAACTGTGGTCAGCCGATTAAATCGACTGATAAAAATTGTGTTGAAAGAACAACTTCCAATCCAATATTTTACTCTAAATAAAACAACTTCCTTTAATAATAAATAAACTTCTGTTTTTCACTTTTCTGTGTCCTTTTTTGTACTTTTGGAGTTATTTTTTACAACGATCTTTATTAAACAAATTGTGTACTTAGATTTTTGGGAAATGGATGAGGCCATGGCTGGAATATCTGGCTTACAAAATAAATCAGTTGGGAATCTTTTTGATGACTTTTTAGTTAATGACTTAGATGATTCGGAAGATGATTTTCCCATCATACACGAAGACAATGATAATTCCGATTATTTTTTTAGTGGGTCAGAAAGCGAAAGTTCAGATGATTTAGACCTAGGCTTAGAAGAACGATTAGGCATTACCGCAACAACAGGACTCATTCAAAACTATGTTGCAGATGATTTTGTACCAACAAAAATAATTAGATGTTGTTCTACGGTACATATGTTTTCTTATATTTCATTTCATGGATTAAATATTTATATAGCAGCTATTTAAATTTTATCTGTTTCATGCTATTTAGTAATTTTATATTGTTTATGTCATGCTTTGTTACTTGAATGTAATTATAGGTATCAGAATAACTTTTTTTTAAAAATCTTTAATAACTAAAACATATACAAATAATACATTTTCTGAAAGATAAGTAAAAATGCCATCATATTATATAAACATTATAATAATATGCCTTTAAAAAATTTTAGTTTGAGGTACTTGAAAAGTAAACTTTTCATTATTTTCTTTATTCTTGGTTATTCCAAGGTCAAGGTAATGGTCACAGAGTATAAAATAGCATTAACAAAATAGCCAATATGATTCCCCACTCAGTCTAATTTCAATAAGCAAATACTTTATGGGGTCTAGCTATAGTATTTGCATGTGAAAAATCACATTTTTCAAATGCACCCAGAAAAATCTAAATTGCCTGCACAGTACAGAATAGTAACCAGCACAATTCATGGGCTAAGAGTCATTAAGGTTAACATAGCAAGTTTTTGTGTTATTTTACAAATTAATTTAAAGTGTGTTGTAAGCTGTTACTGTTTTATGATAACTGGAAAGAATCAAAATGCAAAAAACTAATTTTTTTTAAAGTTAAAGGGAAATGGAAAAAAAATTAGCTTCTAGCAGGAATTGAACCTGGTCTCAAACACACGTAAAGTAGTCTAGCAATACATCACAGTTTAGAGTTGATGCAAAAAAAACAAAAAACTTTGCAAGATGCATATATATTTTTAATGTGATGATAGGCAAAGGGAAACCAAAATTTAATAAATAACTAAGCGATAAACAAAGGGAAACCAATATTTAAATAAGAACTAACAGCCACAGCAGACTATATGAACACATAGATGGTTAAACATCTCTTACAAATGGGATCATAAAGTGAGTGATATGACACTGCAGGTAATCAAATTTATTTTGAGCGGTAAATTCCATCTTTCTCAAAGGCCAGAATTAGACCACTGTTATAAAAAAAAAAATTCTACATCAGAATTATTTCTTTAGGGATATTTTTTTTCTCTAAATTAATAATTTCATAAACACTTTTATTGAGTTATTCTTACATTAAGCCCCTGAAGTTTTTTAGATACTTAGAAACTCTGATAATTTAATCTTTTCCTTTTTGATCTCGCTCCACAGTTAGATATGAAATGGGACAGGATCCAAAGCTTCTCTCTACTGGTTCGGTCTCCTTTCAAGGTCCTTCTTTGATTGCCTTGTCTCCTGATGGCCTCACAGCTGCAGTTGGGAATAATACCAGCATTGCCTTCTGGGATACAGAATCAGGAAAGGAGCAGGAAGTGATGCAAGATGTTCATCCAGGTATTATATGAGATTGTAAATCAAAATATTAGCTTGTCTGAAGCCTGGGAACTTATGTAAACATTTTTTTTTCTATATTCCTTTTCATCCCCATAGTGCTCTAAATGCAAGCTTCTATTAAATTTGTTTATAAATGAATCATGTAATTGAAAGAAATCTCTCTAACTGAGTACCTGTCATGTGCATTTTTCTGTAGTGTCTAGCCATTTTTAGAATTTTCATATACTGTTCAAATATGAAGAAATCACAAAATAAATTAAATCAGAGACCCTTATAAGTATACATTTCCGAAAGTACATGGGATAAGGTATCTTAAGTTATGAAAAGAATTTATTTTTATATTATGTATTATGAGTCACCTTGACCTTTGCAGAGGGAATAAAAAATGTAATATTCAATTTCTCCATTAAACCCAAATTGTTCAACTATCATAAAATGAAGTTTTTAAGATACTAGAAGCAATATTCTTCCTGAAGATGTCAAGTTATAGATACTTACATTGAAAACTTTAATTTTGGTGAGTTTCATTCATTCCCTACCTTAAAATTTCTGTCATACAAAATACTGGAGAAAAGCACATAATGAGTTCAAAATGGCTTTTCAATTGAAGTTATTAAATCCATTTTTATATTAATTAATACTACAGAGCATCAATAAACATAAATGTCTTTGAAACTCTTTAGGGTAGGTGTTTGGGAACCCATCTTTGTCTTTTCTATACAATTTCCACCCTTTCTCAAACAAATTTGTCTTTAACAATATGACTATGCTTAGGACTAAAATTGTCAATATCTGACTCTCATGTCGACATCACCACTAGAGCTAATACTGTCACTAATACATCAAGTATCTCTGAAATTTAATTTAATCGGCATCCTTCCGTCTCGTGAGACGATGGTGCATCACCGTTGGGTTTGGTTGCATTTTCTCGAGTGGCTGTGCAGTCCTATCCTTGAATGACAGTCTTTACCACAGTTTTTACACACGAGTTCCGTGCTTCTAAATGTTTTGGCCTTTCTCCTAGCTCTTCTGTCTGCAGCCTCTTCCATTCTTCGCTCCTCGGCTACCATGACGCCCTCTTTGACAACTGTGCGCCACGTAGATCGGTCTTTTGCCTTACACTCCCAGTCACTTGTATGTATTTTGGCTGCTTTCATGTCCCTTTGACAGACATCTTTAAATCGCAGACGTGGGCGACCTGTTTTCCTCTTTCCAGAAGCAAGTTCACCATATAGGAGGTCTTTCGGAATGCGGCCGGGACTCATTCTTTTAACATGACCTAGCCATCTCAGGCGTCTTTCACTAAGGATTGTGAACATGCTTTGGGTATTCGCACGCATTAGGACCTCACTATTAGTCACTTTTTCTTGCCATTTAATACCAAGGATGCGACGCAGGCATCTCATATGGAAGCTATTAAGCTTGCGCTCTTGGGATGTATAGGTGGTCCAAGTCTCGCTCCCGTATAGTAGTGTACTGATGACACAAGCTCGATAGACGCACAGTTTGGTTTTCTCCGTTAGCTTGGTGTTTTGCCAGACCCGTTTATTTAGTTTAGCCATTGTGGCAGCTGCCTTGCCGATTCTGCTGTTAATTTCTTCTTCAATGGACAGTGTATTGGAGACCTTGGACCCCAAGTAGGTGAAGCTGTCCACAACCTCCAAGTTTTCATTATCGATTTTTATGTTAGGTGGAGGTCGAGTGTCTTGGGCCATGATGTTTGTCTTTTTCAAGCTGATTTGCAGACCAAATTCTTTGCAGGCATTGGAGAAGCTTGACACGAGTTGTTGCAAACCAATTTCTGTGTGTGCTGTTAGTGCCGCATCATCCGCAAATAGTAGCTCGCGAATTAGGACATCTGTCGTTTTGGTCTTGGCTCTGAAATCATTGCTTTCATTTTAATCCATTTGAATAAAGAATGTCTGTTTTGATTTTGCAATCTGGATGAAGACCCTTTCCAGCATCAGATGTAATGGCAGCAACAAAAAAAAATGTGCAAATTTCACACCTGATAAATCACGAGACAAACCCTGACGAAAGCATGTTAACACACGGATAGAAATAGTTAGCAAAGTCATTTATGTAGTTATTTCCCCTTAACCAATATACATTTAATCAGTCACATTTTTAAATGGTGATTTTGCTAGCTGCCAATTATAGCGGCAGTGACACCACAGAAAGGGGTTTAACGGCAGGTGACGGGTTGTTATGACAGTTATTGTGTTAATGAATAGATCTGCCTCATTCAGTTTTTGCTTATTTAGTTATGGGTGGAAACATGTGCCTTAACATTAGTTGTCAAATATTAGCAATACTTGTTGCAAATTTTTTATTCATTAAAAAATATATTTTGAAAAAATTGACTGATTGAGATAAACATGTGTCCTCCTTCAATTCTATCTATCATACTTGAGAAGAAGACTTCATATGTAAGATGTCCATATTCCCGTCATCCACAGAGCCAATGACATGCCTTAGTTTTGACATCAGTGGACACTACCTGGTTTCATCAGGTGGTAAACATGTGATGGTGCTGCACAATGTTGTTGGCTTTAAGGCTACGATAGCTGAGCTGGAGGAGAAACTCAAAAGTGCTTCTGGGCCAGGTATGAAGGAGCGCCTCAAGTCACAGCTTTCAATTACCAGGTATTTAAAAAAAATTTTTTTTCAAATTAATGAAGAAACAAACAATTTGATCCACTGACAAATGTTTGGACCATCATTCCCTTAAATAACCATTTCAGTCGCGTTCCGGCCAAATCCTTCCTTAAAAACATGCCACCTTCAGCGTTGCCTAGTGAAGGTAACTCTTCGAATCAAGGAGTTACAGAGAGCCTATTTATAAACTGGATGTGTCAAGCTCTAGGTTTGATGGCTATGCGCTTGATTTCACACTACTTTTAATTTCTTTTTATTAAATAGTTTTTTTGGCAGTATATGTAAGTCTAAGCTTAATGGTATTTAGGTCACTTAAAACTGCAAATACATCTGCTGTTAGTGTCAACAGTGATGAATTTGATGAATAAATAGGTGCAGAAGTATATAATGGAAATAAAAGTGATGTTGATATTAACATTTTGAGTTCCCAGATGGGTCAGGCAATGAAGACAACGTTGATAAAACTGACTGGTCTAACCAATAACTGTGTTAAATTGACATTGAAGAATTTTGGGTGTAACTGATCCTAATGTTGACTTATTTTATTTAAAATTTTATCTTTTCTCTATAATTACTAATATCAGTAAAAAAAAAAAAAATATGACTTGATGAAAGATTGATTTTTAATTTAATATAGTATTGAAGTCATCAACTTATGGTCAGTGTGGAGTTATTTCCCTTTGCTTTAACGTAATTTAATTTCTTAATGGGTGCTACGATATACTGAGGCAATTAAAATGTATGGATGTGCTGTTGTTTGATGTTTTCTTCATGAAACTTTAAGCCCTGATGAATGCATCAAGTTTTGTCTGTTTCATCTCTATGGGTCAGTAAAAGTTTTGTAGTTGTTTGCTGCCAAACATTTTATCAAACCTGCTGAAAGTAAAGTTCAAAATGTCTATCAACAAAAAAGCATACAAATCATTTGGCCTAAATTCTTTAACAAGTAATAATTGTTTGGCCATTGATTCAAAATGGAGCAGCAACTTCTTGTTTGATAAAAGTTTTATACTGCTTTTAGATTACTGATTTTCGATTATGCATTGACAATTTAATTTTTTAACCAAAAAATCTCTCTCTCTTTCCTCTGCTTTGAAGGGAAACTTTAGAGACAATTCTTACCAGCTCAAATGGACACACAGAAAGCAAGTGATGGAATGACTCCTTTGCATGTACATCTTTCAATTGTCATTATCCATAGATACACCTATTTTTAAATATGTTTATGTAAGCTTCAGGTTTTTATGAAAACGACTTTCAAAAAAAATTAAAACTAGGAAAAATTTTAGTTTCTTTTTAAATCCCTTCTTAAAAAATCCTGTCAGATTTTTTTATTTGTGTTTTAATTTTTCTTTCAAATGCTTTGTTTTTAGCTGTTTTAATGTGAACCCTAAATTTGAATTGGTCATTTATTATTATTAATATCAAATTATCCAGTTAGTACAGAGGTTATTAATTTATTTATGAGAACTAACAATTGAAGAAGACCCTAGTACAAAAAGTACATAAGTCACGTTTTTGTCAAAATCAATCCAACCTGTGAACCTTTCTTATCCCATTTAGCCAAGTGTACTGCAGAAATTTGAACACATTAAAATGTGCCTAAGACCGTTCATTAATCAAGACAAAATATGAAAATGATCACATTTTATAGACAAAAAGAATATTTGAACTTGATTATCTTAAAATGTGTATTTTGTGACTTATGTACTTCTGGCACTGAAATATTACATTCACTGTAAGGGACCAAGCTATTGCTCTTTAATGGCAAGTATGGAACAGGCCTGCCTCATCTGCTGGGCAGTCCCGTATATCAGGCTTTCGACGTGGGTGGCTGGGAGCACTCGGCTAGAAGGTGTTCTACTGTCTCCGGTGCCTGTCCACAATGACTTCTAGCACTAAGGTCTTCAATTGTTTGTTTTTTTAATTGTTTTTTTTTTGTACATCTTAGAACAGTTTGCACTATGCAAAATTTTAACCGTATCTCTTCAATAGATAGTATTGGAGTGAGGTAAATCCATTAAAAATTATGAACTGTTTATTTCAGTGAGGATTGATAATTTTGTTGATTTTGTCTATTACTAGTCACATATTGTTTGTTTTTTTCCTAGAAATAGAATTTTTTGTTAGCTTCATTTTTTTTCAGGAGATGAAATAAATTTTTATAATTGTTACCAAAGCCGAAAGCTTGGTTTGTGTACCCATTTGTTGTTAAATGGCATAGGCAGCCTTGATTCATTTTTTCCTTTGCTTCATTGGCTTGACATTTGTCATTGATGTATGTGGGTGTACACCTTTTATCACATTTATCATGCAGGTGTTCCGATTTTGAGATTGCCTCAAAGTCATTATGATAATAATAATAATTCCAAAATTGAAATTGTTTTGGTTTTTTTCATATTTTTTTTTCTAACAATTTGCTGTAGATCAGTATTTCTGTAAACTGTATGCCATTGCCTCTATAATTATCTATCCAACAAAAACAAACAAAAAAACTGTAATTTGTCAACTAATCATTTATGTTCACACATATGACAGCCAACAACATTATTATTATTTCTGGAACAGTTATGATCCACCATCAAAATATGGAGGGGGAATATAAACTCTAAAGTTCAAGCCAAATTTATGTACATGCTTAATCAATAGGTAATAAATAAAATTCAGTTTCATGGTCAGGCTAACAACCTCCACACCTTTATACTCGAAATTGGAAGTGAGATATTTGTTGTGACCAAGTCATCTTAGTAACTGGAGGAGAAACTAATGTAAACAATGTGTTACCAGTGCTGTCAGTGTTTTAAAATTCTCTTTAGGGCATTTTTTGTGTTTGAGAAATGATGTTAGCGAAATGAGGATGAAACACACAGATATTGAGACTGTTTGATTGTAAGACAGAGCAGAAAAGATTCTTAAATGAGGACAAAAAAATAGCACCGATTAAATCAGAGGCTCACTAGGATCATTTTATGTCCCTTTTCTCAATATGTATGGGCAGCTTGCATATATCATCTAAGAATATATTTAATATAATTGAAATGAAACCAAGGGCTCTGGGACTTTTTCATTTGCAGTACCCTTAATAAAGTGTTTGCCTGTGATGTGAATTTTCTTTTGATAGAAATATCCCATGATGTGACTGCCCTGTGGTAGAAATATCCAATGATGTGACTGGCCTGTGGTTAGAAATATCCCATGATGTGACTGCCCTGTGGTAGAAATATCCCATGATGTGACTGCCCTGTGGTAGAAATATCCAATGATGTGACTGCCCTGTGGTAGAAATATCCAATGATGTGACTGCCCTGTGGTAGAAATATCCAATGATGTGACTGCCCTGTGGTAGAAATATCCCATGATGTGACTGACCTGTGGTAGAAATATCCCATGATTTGACTGCCCTGTGTTAGAAATATCATCCAATGATGTGACTGCCCTGTGGTAGAAATATCCAATGATGTGACTGGCCTGTGGTAGAAATATCCAATGATGTGACTGCCCTGTGGTAGAAATATCCCATGATGTGACTGCCCTGTGGTAGAAATATCCCATGATGTGACTGCCCTGTGGTAGAAATATCCTATGATGTGACTGCCCTGTGGTAGAAATATCCCATGATTTGACTGCCCTGTGGTAGAAATATCCCATGATGTGACTGCCCTGTGGTAGAAATATCCCATGATGTGAGTGCCCTGTGATGATTTCTCACAGATATCAGGGACTCCCACGTTTTCCTTTATAATGCTGTTACCAAGTTATAATACATGTTAATCCTCAAATGAAATGTCAGATTGTCTATTACAAATAAATTTATTATTTAAAAATTATTTAATGTTTTGTCCTGAAAAAAATATATATATATTGTTCTTAGTATCATTTAACCCAAAGGTTCTTAACCTATTCACCATGGACCAGTTTATTTATTTATTTAAAGTTTAAAGGACTGACAGATTTGTATTTCCTGTGCAAGTATGTTATTGAATTAAGCAGAAGGAAACAAATTATTGACATGACAACCACCCTTTAGGATATTTTCTACAGTTTCTTACACATGACACATGAACCATTTTCATCTTTAAAAAAAAAACTATAGGAGAAGAAATATTATGAGTAAAGCATTTAAACTAGAGTGGCTGGTGGGCACTGCAGGGAGCCTCAGATATTTCAGGAGACTAAAGATGTGATGTGGTAATAATTAATTTCAACTTTAAATGCAAGGGACACTAACCAAAAATGTGGTAGGGGGGCCTCCAAAAATCAAGCAACAATTGGTACTCAACCCTTTGGGGATCGAATGACCCTTACACAGGGATCGCCTAAGACCATCAGAAGACACATATTTATGAAGTGGCAAAGAAAATAATTTTATGGTTAGGGGTCACCACAACATGAGGAACTGTATGAAAGGGTCACAGCATTAGGGAGGTTGAGAACCACTGATTTAAACATTAATTAATTGTTTACAGATAATATGATTTTTTAATAAACATATAGAAGTATTCTATCCGAATCTTGTTTTCAAAAAACAATGTAAAATGAGTAAAACAGAGAAAAAAGGAACACAACAATGTACATTTCAGGTTTAACCCTACTCTGTTTTACTCATTTTATATTGTGCTAACCTGATTGCAGTCTCTCCCCTTATTACCCTTTCAAAAAACAAAGCACTAACACCAATTCATCAACGTTTTCATTAAAAAATATAATTAATCGTTGAATAAAAATTGTTAAAAAAAAAAAAAAAGATTTTTAAAAAAGTTCCCGCGAACCGGATTCGAACCAGTGACCTAAGGATAGCTTCTTCACATCTACAGTCCTCCGCTCTACCAACTGAGCTATCGCGGGTTACGCCAACTGTCGTTAAGACACAAAGATTTCATCCAGTTGATCTTAACTTAATGTCTTCTGTAAATATATTTTGAAAATTCATCCTTTATTTGCAATTTCTCTGTTACAATGTTAAATGAGAGGTTAGATAATTAATTGTGTTTCCTTATTTATGGAAATCACCAGTCCAGAGTTTCAATTAATTAATTAAATAATTACCTTAACTTAACTTAGTAGTCTAACTTAGAGGCTAAATAAGTAGTCTACTGAAATAGTTCAGAATTACTATTTAATTTTAGTCGTCCCTTGCCCTTACGTCCCTTACACTTCCTTTACTTTACTTTACTACTTTAATATTACTAACAAATTGGGGCCATCCATAAATGCCATCCCGAGTGGGGTAAGGCACGAATTTGTTATAAAAGTGTTTAATTTGTGAGCGGGAAATAGGGGAGGGTGGATAAAAATCCACCAAAACAGCGTGACGACGTGACGTCATTTATTGGGGAAAAAAATCCCCCCACCCCCCTGTTTTATAGTCGATAATATGGTAATCCTTATTTTAATAGCCTTAAAAAGTTTATAATTAAAACGTCTTTTCACTTCACTGACTTGAAGGGATTTGACTTTTTAACGACATTACAGTGACATTAATATTTATAGAATTAGTTTTAAAATAGCTGAGCTCTGACTCTGAATATCCTAGCCTACTTATTGAAACCAATATATAATGGTAATAAGGGGACAGAGGCGTAGCGAGGGGGGTGTAGGGGGGACAGATGTCCCCCGGGCGCTAGCTAGTTAGGGGCGCCAAAATGTGCTTTGATATTATTTTATTGATGAAAAAAATGGGTTTGAGAGTTGAAAAAAAGAAAATGGGGCGCTTTAAAATGGATCTTGTCCCCGGGCGCGAATCTTGTCCCCGGGTGCCAAACACCCTCGCTACGCCGCTGTAAGGGGAGGTAGAGACATCAATCAGATTAGCCAAAAAAGGAAATAAGTCAAAGTATTTTTTCCCCAACGTAAACGCCGCCAAATCATGACACGCTTAGAACGTCACAAACTGAAAGCTAGACGACTAAACGTATGGAAGAACACAGTACACGCTTTGGCCGCACCCTGGTCTCGCCACAACCTTGTCTGGAGGAATCTGGTTCTGGTGGCATTCTATCTCATCGCATCCACCAAAGTATAAACTACAAATCTTGGGCATAAGTAAGCGAAGTACAGTGGAACATTTTTGGGGGGAAATTAGACTGCAATCAGGCGAAGCTATGCTCTTCCCTGGAAAGGAAATAGAAGGAGACACACAGAGAGTGGCACTCTTATTAACGAAGAAACATTTAAAAGTCTCTGGGAATGGGTACCGGTTTCTGAACGGATAATCCGTGCCTAATTCTCGTCAAAATTCCAGAATATACATGTCTTGTCATAATATGCCATGTCTCTTGTTGTTGTTCGTCCGTCGAAGTCGACTAGGACCATCGAGTTATCCGGATAGGGGGAGGGTGGGTTACGGTGAGCTCATAGGTGGCGACCCAAAGGGGTCGCGACCCACAGGTTGAGAACCGCTGACCTAAGGGAAGAACGGGCCAGGCTTTAGAAGAGAACGATCATTTCTGCTGACCAGATAGCAACACTCAGAATCACCAAAGCGATATGTAACAAGTTCTGTTTTATAGAAAAGTCTGATTCATCGACTATAAATAAATAGTTGCCTAGAGACCTAGGAGACCTTACAAGACTTACACGTGTCTACCCTGTTTGTGTATTAATGTTTTTACCTTTCTATTGTCATACGTATTCAAGTGCTGTATAAGTTAATAGAGTTTTTATTTCTATATATTTTATTGTGTACTTAATCTTACAAATTTTAGCATAAATAAAACTTTACTCCAGATTAGCACTAGTTGCGGTTTCGTTCTTTATTTAGTATACTTAATCAGTGGCGTAGCGAGGGTGTTTGGCGCCCGGGGACAAGATCCATTTTTAGCGCCCCTTTTTTTCAACTCTCAAACCCATTATTTTCATCAATAAAATATTATCAAAGCACATTTTGGCGCCCCTAACTAGCTGGTGCTCGGGGACATCTGTCCCCACCACGCTACGCCCCTGTACTTAATAATCAAAGGTAATGTCATTTTGTTATGTACTTTTTGTTCAAGAGCCATTTTAAAAACAAAATTAATACTATGAACAGGGGTTTAACAATGTTGAATCCATCCACCAGATTTTAGGAGCAGTGAAATAACTTCCTCACCCCACCCCCCCAAAACAAACAAACAACAACAACAAAAGAACACGCACATACTTTTTCCCTTTTTTTTCTTCTTCTCTCTTTTCGTTCCCACCATTTCATTTCAATTTAATGTGTTTCTTCTCTACCACCCACACAATAAAAATCCACAATCTTCCCCATTTCATTTGCCAATGATTTGGGATAAAATTCTGGTAGGCCTACTACCGAAATGTGATGGGAAAATGAAATTAGAGTGATGGTTCTAAAAATAGATACTGCACCTGCCACTTACGATCTTTTAAAAATATGATGACAATCTGGTCTGGTTTGCTTTAAGTTGTGAATGGATTGTAGAAACTGATAATCAGTTTAAAACTGGATTCTGAAAACTAATGACCAGTTCGCAAAAAAAACAAAAAAAAAAAAAACGACTATATGAAAAAAAAAAAATTAAAAACGTCAGGGGGGGGGGGGGTCGCTAAATAGACTTACAAATGAAAAGTTTTGCAGTGGTCCTGGGTGGTTAAGTTAAGTAGCACTACGACAACTGCCACTCACGCTGCCGCTTAGTTAGGGAGGATGTGGTGGTGGGGGAGGGTAAAGATAAGATGTTGGACACTTCGATGGAGGCAAAGAAGTCCTTATAATTTTTCTAGAATTAAAATAATAATAATAATAATAAAGTTCATTTCAAAAACACGCTTCATCTCCAAAAAGGCTCGAAGCGCGGTACAAAGTCAACAAAAAAAAACAACAAATCTATAATTTACCACATTTAAAACAAACGCAACACTACAAAAACTAATTACAAGCATACAATGTCAAAGTCTTTCTAGCCATTTCAACCATAAGCAACACAGCAATTATGCATTAACTGGCAAATAAGGTAGACAATCATCCCAGAAATAATAATAATGATATTTTAAAAAGTTATTAAATAATTAGATGAGACCTTTTCTTGTGTCCAAATCAATCAAAGTGAGGCCCAGAGAGTCAGAGTGAAGAAGGCGGAGCGGATGGTGATTCTGACACAATTATTCATTACTAGCATTACTAAACTATTAAATTACATAGTGACAGTTACAGTCTATTTATTATTATTAGAATTAGACATTATCCTCATACTACTATTATACATTATACTAGACTACATGGGGGCCCGCAGAAAAATTTCTAGGGGGGGGGGGGAACAAAGATCGTTTAACTTTTCAGGGGGGGGGGAAAAAAATTTTGGTAATGTTTTAATTAAGTTTTAATACATGGGGGCCCGCAGAAAAATTTCTAGGGGGGGGGGGGAACAAAGATCGATTAACTTTTCAG